GTGCGGTCGACGTCAAACTCAACGTGCTTTCTTTTACGTCGATTTTACATCCCAATTATTTTACCTGATGTGTACTCATGCTCAATTTCGACATTTGACTCGATCTCAACCCTCCACGTTACCTAAAAATTCACATTTTAGAATGCCTTAGGCTAGTTTCGGTGAGCCACTGCCACCTCGTTACGATGCTGAGTTTCGGTGGCAATATTGGGATCAGTCAGTTACGTTCAGCTGAAAAATCAATCAAACGCGAGTGAAACCCCAAGCCACACAGGCCAGGCCGCGCTCTGCTGAACCAGTGGCGTCAATCATAAATGGTTGACCACTGTGGCGTACTTTTCCCGTCGTGACACCGGCTTCTCTGCCGATGAACGGCTGTCACGTGTCTGACGTGGACGTTATGCCGTTTACTCCGTAGTGAGTTGTATGTAGCATGCAGTTGCAATGTTTAGCCCATGCTCCTTTACTGCATGCCTAGCAGTTGACACGCTTCCGTGTTGCGTCTGTGTCGGCTGGGGCGTGCGTTTCCCGTAGTGGCCGCACGCCGGTAGACTGCGGTGTCCGTCCGTGGCCGCGCCGGGGCCCGTGTGTCGTCCGTGAGTCTGTGCGTGTGCCGGCGGCGGCGGGCGGCGGCGGCCGGTGGCGGCGGCGGCTGAGCGAGCGGCTCCGGCCGGCCTCTGTTGCAGGAGCGCGCCCGGCGGCTGCTGCTGCGCTACTCTCAGCGCTGGGCCAAGGACTACCTGCGCAAACGGCTCGACTGGACGGTGGACATGAACGAGCGTCTGGAGGCGGGCGCCGGCGCGTGCTCGCCGCGCCACCTGGCCACCGCCCGCTGCCCGTGCCAGTACATCGAGGACCACCTCAGCTGGAAGCCGCAGAAGCGGCCCAAGGACCGCTGCTGCGGCTTCCAGCTGCCCGAGAGCTGCGCGGCGCTGCTGTGCTGAGCTCGGACGGACAGACGGCGCGCGGGACGGCCGGTCGCGCAGACCGGCGGCGGCGGGCCGGACACTCACTGACGCAACGACGAATTATACGACTTTATTCCATCCTCGGTACATTCCATGAGGCGGCCTTTTGGCGCATCTTGCTTGTCTGCGGAGCAGACCATGAACGGTTTTGAATGCTTTGCTTGGATGTTTTATTTGTTGACCGTGTTGGCGTTTCGGTCACCGAGTGTTTTTATTCTTTTTTTTTTTTTTTTTTTTGAGTGTTTTTATTCGGTTGACCTGAGCCCCTGCGTGTTAGCACCATTTGGTGTGTCCTGTGAGTATCAATGTGTGGGTCTGGCCGGGTAGGTTCCGCTCTACCAGCTATTTTTATTATAAATATTTAGCATGAGCAGTTATTGTGAATGATTGCTCACTTTATTTTAAGTGGCACTGCGAAGTTTATATAGCGTTTATTCCAAGGTGCCTTGGACGGTGTATAGGTGGGATGGGGTGGGGGCAGAGTAAGATAGATCTGTAAGCAGTCACCGGAGCGCCGCCGCCTAACGCGGCCGGTGATCGGCGGGGGGGGGGGGGGTGTGCCCGACTTCGCCCTGTGTTCGCTGATCGGCAGCTTTCGGTACGATGCCGTCCATTCGCCGTTGTGTCACTGGCTTTATGTTCCGCATTCGCGTGTGTAATGTTTAAGTTTATTTAGAGCGGAAGTTTTTATCTGGCAATAATAGCTATGGCAAACATGGGGAACCGGCTCTGCCGCTCGGCGGCCGCTGGTTAACTGTACGATCTGGGTGCTCTGTGATCGGACTCTGTGTCGAGGCGTTGAGGCGTCGGGTTGTGTTTTGGAGCGGCGGACTGTCCGGGACCCAGGTAGTGGGCACTGCGCAGTCGGAGGGTAGTTATCAGCTGCTGATGGTGGGGGCCTGCGGTCCCTGTCGGGTCGGGTCCCAGCCGCCAGCCTTTCTGGTGTCCGCTCCCAGCTGCTGGCGTTTCGGCTCTGCGGCCCAACCTGCTGACCGCTGGGGTCCGCGGCCTCTCAGCCGCCCGGACAGGGTGTTTTTGTATGTTTCCGACAGTGCCGTGTCAACTGCCCCGGGCTGCCTGTCCGACCAGCGCCGCGCAGCCGGCCGCCGGTGACTGGGCCTCGCACGGGCCTGTGGGAGAGTGGCGTGGGTCTCCTCTCGCATAATATACCATTTGCATATCCTAACCCTGGTGGGGAGGGAGTATGTTTCTCGTTTGGGGCGGCTCCCTGAATACAGCTCTACTAACAGCTTCGCTGTCTCTCGTATCGTAGCAAAATCAATTGCAGCGTAATATAAAGACGTGCGTAGTACGCCGCTCCTTTGCAGGTTGGCCCTGCGTATTCACAAGCTGGCGCCTGTCTGACATTTCTAGCGGTAATGCGATGCGAGCTCGGCCGTCGCCAGGCGCGGCTTGGTTCCCCGTGTAACTGGGCGGCGTGCCCGGCGAGTGAGGTGCATTTGATGAGCCTCCGGGATGTATCGCGGTAATCGGGCCCGGCACCGTCCCGTGACACCTGCCTGCGTCACAGGGGGCGGTGACGTCAGCGGTGACGACGGCGTGCGCCGGTCACGAGAGGCGGCACGGGCACCCCGGGCGGTGTTTCACTGGACGCTGCTACCTCGCTGCTATCGCATTTGCGATTTCGCGAGCTGACGTCACAGCTTGTGGTAATGTTGAAGATACGAGTTTGTTGATGTCTCCATGGAAACCCAATTTGACACAAGAGTGGTAGCAGCGCGCTGGTAGCGGCCGTGAAACAGGGCTCTGGTCGACACGGTGGCTGGTGACACCTTGTAGCCAAACCGCAACAGCCTATTGTGGCGGACTCGGTACCAGTCTGGGCACTTGCTCATTGTGTCACCATTTCAAGTCGGGGCATATCAGCAGCCTGATCTCACTCACTGGGGCAATAAGCAGGGGCAAAAGTGCAGCTGGTTATGCTCAACAACCCCAATGTCTCACACAGTTTACATGTAACTAATAGACATGCGCTCTAATGTGATTCTTAAAGATCATACTCGAGCCAAGGCCGTGTAATTGCTCAATGTTTGCTGGCGTGGTCAACGGGAAGCACGTCCACCGTCCCTTGCCGTTCCCCAGTGTGCCTGTTCAGTGTTCCGCTGAGAAATTGCCGCACTGTTGTCCCGTGTTCGTGCGATGTGTCCGTCCTATCGTTCGCCACTGGAGAACGGCGAGATTCTCCGAGTGTTCGTCCTATTTGTTCCCCAATTCTTGCCGCCAGCCCGAGCCTAAAGCGGACCGGGTATGTCCTGTTTGACGCCCCAGTGGCCGAGTCTGTGCTAATTGTCCCACCAGTGGGCGAGTCTGTCCTGTTTGTCCCCCCCCCCCCCCCCCCAGTGACCGGATACGTCCTGTCTGTTCCACAGTGATTGAGTCTGTCTTGTTTGTCCCCACAGTGATCGAGTCTGTCCTGTTTGTTCCACAGTGACCGAGTCTGTCCTCTTTGTGTCCTCTCAGGCCGAGTATGTCCTGTTTGTTTCTGCAGTGACCAGGTCTGTCCCGTTTGTTTCCCCAGTGACCGGCTCTGTCCTGTTTCGTACTATGTGACCGAGTATCTACTGTTTGTCCCCTCAGTGACCCAAATCCGCTTTTTCCAGTGACCAAGTCTGTCCTGTTTGTTCCAGTGGCTGAGTCTTTACTGACCCCCCCCCCCCCCCCCAGTGACCGGGTCAGTCCCGTTTGTCCCCCCCCCCCAGTGACCGGGTCTGTCCCCCAGTGACCGGGTCTGTCCCGTTGGTCCCCTCAGTGACCGCCGCTCCCCAGTGACGGAGCCCCTGGCTGTCCGACAGCACCGCGCCACGCTGCTGCTGCTGCGCTACTCGCAGCGCTGGGTCAAGTTCCACTCGCGCGGCCACCTCAGTCTGACCATCAACCCGCTGGAGGTGTCGCCGGGCGGGCCGGCGCTGCCGCCGCGCCACTGGAACGGCGGACGCTGCCCCTGCCAGTTCATAGAGGAGCATCTCGCCTACAAACTCAAAGGTACCTGCTGCGAGCGCATGGGACAGATCTGCGGACCCGACTTCGGCTTTGAGTAGGTGTCGGCGGCGGCGGCGGCTGCCCGGTGACTGTGGCGACACCTGTCCAGCCGGGGGCCGCGGGAGCCAGGCTGGGTGCGCCCGGCGCCTCGGCACCCCAGCGGGGACCGCGGGGCACCCGGCTGGGGTGCACCAGGCTCCCGGAAACCCCTCTCGCCGTGCGGTCAGCGCCCAGCAGTGCGCTCCGTCGGGAATTCAAATGCACAAGGGCACACTCGGCTAGCCTGCTAGCTACTTTTTGAATGTTTTCCAAAAAGAGGCGCTCGTAGAGGCCAAAGTAGTTTTATATGGGAGTGGGGTGATACTATTGTTACGAGTACTTTCTGATGCAACAAATAATCTGCTTATGGATCTGAAGGTCGAGGTGAACTCTACTAAAATTGTTAACACCCATTCTATGTAGGGCTGAGCTGCTTGTTTGCGTCGTTAGAATCCGATTTTCTCTCGGACAATCGTTACCCTTGTGCACTGACGCCCCCTTTTCGCCCCAGTTTTGGGACAGTGAAGACCAGGAGGTAATGGTTCATGGTATGTTACGGTTGCACCTGTCTTCTGTCTAGACACGCATGGGCTGGCCGTGCCGATAGCACTGGGATGCCTTTGGGCGACCTGCATGCACCCGGCGCCGGATATTGCCGCCGCTATTTTCTATGTAGTTTTATGATAAGCACTTGCACCAATTTTGCTGCAATCACGAGAATTTATTTTTAAATCACCCTTGTTAGTTTTATTTTGAGTTTTTATACGTAAGTGCCTGTTTTATCGTGTGTGTGACGTCATCACCGAATGACCGGTGTGAAGGTGTGAAGGTGAGGTGATGTTCAGGTCACGTGACTAGTTCATGTCGTGGGATCCATTCCGTGTAAATCGAGGCGGCGGCAGCTCTGTGGTTCCGTCAGGTGTCTCAAGTGATATTTCAGCCGTCCAAATGTGCCCAGAGTCCGTCCAACAAGAGGCTCTTGTAACACTGATGTAAAAAAATATACACGATATATTATGTTTGTAAGCGTTCTGTTGCTGTGAATTGCGGTTGATGGGCGAGGTGATGGGCCCCTGGCAGCCACTGCCTGGGGGCCCGTCTGGCGGGCTGGGGCGCCTACCCTTCTGTCGGCTGGCGGTGCGCGGCTGGTGACGTTCAGCGCTCGCCGGCCGCCGCGTGGCCGCGCGCGTCACTGACGAGCAGCGCCAGCCGCGCCCGCTCGCGCTGCAGCAGCTCCAGCTGCGCGGTCACGTGGCGCGCGCCGTGCCGCAGCTTGTCGCACGTGCTCAGCAGCCGGTGCGCCTGCAGGAAGACGGCCTCGGCGCCGGGCGCCTCGCCGCCGCGCGCCGACGCCAGCTTGTCTGTGGACATGGTGGAGTGCTGAGCTGTGGCGGCAGCGGCACTGACGACCAACACCAGAGCGCAGTGCTTATTAGAACAATAGAACATGCTATGCCATATATTGCTCAAGTGAGATGTCAAACAATGCTCTTAGTTTCTAAATCATGTGTACAAATTTGCAAATAGCCTGAAAGGAAACATGATTAACATTTGTGATTTGAGACAATTCATCGTAACATTGTGGATTGAAGGTTCAGCCAGTAGCGGCGGAACACCTTCAATTGAGGGGGGCACTGCCGACTTTTGGTCCCATTCTTTCCATGCAACGTCCATAGGGCTAATGTTAAAATGCCAAAATCAAGGGGGCACGGTGCCCTCCCCGTTCCACCGCCTCAGTAGGCGGAACTATGGTCATGAGTACCCAAATATAGGAACGTTCCCATTTGTGGGAACGGAGTTCCCAAATATGGGAACGGGCGTTCCCATTTATGAGAACGGAAGGCAATTTTTCGGCCGTTCTCCCACTAAAACTCAAAAGTGCATCACGTCTCAAAAAAGTGCACGCTGATTTAAGTATCTACTAAATCTCCATAAAGTTATCTTTAATCTGACCGTGGAACAAGGAAATTGACCGTGGAATGATATTTTTAATGATTTTTTGAAAATGACAGAATGGTGGAAATATGGGTTATACGACATTTAACATGCAATTTTAAGGAAAATGAAGCATTTTTTTTAAGTTTGAGGTAAAGTATAATAATTTTCGCCTGGTTATGAACTTTCATACTATCGACACCAGATGCTGACAAATGCAAGCGAAGACGCGGACGGTCCCGAGGTAATATTGTTGACTTTTGTGTCGGGGCGGACGACCGCGTGGAACGTGAGTGAATTTACCGAGCTACTGTTGTAAACTCAGTTTAAGCGGTTGAAAATTATCCAGCTGTATTTTATCATCCCGGAAAGACATATTTTATTTGGATGCTAGCTGTTTAGAGTTGTTTTATAAGGAGCGTCATGAGCGTGGTTTTTGTCTTCCGTGTTTCTAAGCGTGATCGTTTCAGTGTTGCCGCGGCCAGATTTTACAGCGTACCAGGATCGCATCCAAATCGTACCAGATTGGCTGTTTTTGGCTGCGTACCGTACCAGATCGTAGTAGGTCAAATTGTTATTAATTCAGTACTTAAAAATAGCCAAAATTTCGGTATGTTCATGCCAGTAAGTAATTTATGACTCATTTGACCCAGAAGTTCGACCCATTCGTCTCCCCGCGTCGCCCCTTGAACATACATAGGCGGCGGAACGGGGAGGGCACCGGGGCACCGTGCCCCCCTTTGATTTTGGCATTTTAACATTAGCCCTATGGGCGTTGCATGGAAAGAATGGGACCAAAAGTCGGCAGTGCCCGACTTTTGGGAGGGTGTTCCGCCGCTACTGCCCTTGAAAGGCAGAAAGGCGCTCTTCTGAAAGCTCCCGAGCTGTACCTATACCTACTTAAAATTGGCCTAAAAATAGATAAATCGAAATCCTGCCTTCGAGGGGGGGGGGGCACTCCAGTTGAGACTGGCGATTGCACCCAGGATCCTAGCTTGCACCCAGGATCCTAGCTTGCACCCAGAATCCGAAAATTCCCACAGTAATATGCCAGTGAGAATGGAAAATTATTTGCTGGGTGTCATTTAGTTTTCCAACGAAATCGCACAATTTTGGGACAGTGATTTTCAAACTAGCCTCTTTCCTTAGCCCTTCGACCGTCGACAGAACTCACATTTCACTGTTCACAACAGTGGCGGCGGAAGCGGGGGGGCAGCGGGGGCACGGCGCCCCCCCATCTTCCAGGGTGGGGGGGCAAACATATCTTTTTGCCCCCCCCCCAAAAATTGTTATCGACGAAGTACCACAATACTTCCATACTACCTACGTCAGGAACATATGCCAGTTTGGCTGAGTACCTTTTTATTAACCCGCGCCGTGCTGGGGGGGGGGCGTTTTTACGCCCCCCCCCCCCCCTCAGGTTTTTCGCGAATATCTCAAAAACGGCGGCGCGCAGCGCCGCCGTTTTTGGTACACGTGTTCCTACATCATTTCCGCACATGTTGTGAAAATTTCAGACCTAGGCCGTTCAAGGTCAGGTCACCAGGTCACGTCAAGTGACCTTACCTCAGAAAAAGTTCAAAGGCTCGCTATAGCTACACCGACTGAACGATCACTTTGAAACTTTCAGCGATTGATATGAGTAACAGTATGTATAAAATGTATATCTCGGATTTTTGATATCTGTGACCTAAGGTCAGGTCAATTTTGCGACCTCTCCATTATAAGTCAATGGGAGAAAATTGAAATGCGCCTCTTTTGGACGAATATCGTTCAAAACGCTCTCAAACATCGGTTCATAGGTAAACATGACACACTGAATAGGAAAAATGCACCTGTGACCCCTCTGTGTGCCCCTGAGGTCATCTCAGGTCATGAACGGTCGCCAGCAGTTTTTTGGCTATAACTTTTGATAGAGACGTGCTAGAGCGGTGAAAACACGTCAGATGTGTTCAGCTCGACGATACGGATCGACTGATATGCAACATGACTCTTTTCGGTCAGGTCATGACCTTGACCTGAGGTCAAATTTTCAAAATGACCTTTCAAGGTCAACAAATAGTTCATTCGACGCGTCTCGACGAGAGGAACACGATGCTGGCAAAAGTAATGTCATGGCGCTTATGAGTCAAAAGTTATTGACGAAAAAACGTTTTTCGTAAAAACGGCTATTTTTGGAGTTTTTGCCCTCTGGAGGCTAAACCGTTGACCTGAGGTCAAATCTGAGAACATTACTCAGAAAGGTCTGTAAAAGGGCTATCGAATGCGCTTTTCCGCGGCGCTGTAGCTCTATCGGTTCCCGAGATAGCCGTTGGCAGTTTCCAAAATGTTGAAATAGTCAACATTTTACCTTTGGTGACCTCTGGTGACCTGACCTTTGACCTGACCCAAAAAATGACCGAAGTGTTTTCGTCCTTATTTTTGACGCTCTTTCGATTGCCGCTTACCGCGTGTCGCTACGTGGCCCAGGAGCCGAGTTAGACGGGGGGCGTGAAAACGCCCCCCCCCCCCCCCAGCACTCGGCGGAAAGTTCAGGCCACCAGCACGGCGCGGGTTAAGTTGATATAGCGAGTAACTTGGATTGATAATAGCCGTTTTCACGACGGGCTATCCGGCGAGCTAGTCCGTGACGGACTATTTCCACCAAACGCCCTCCACACATAGGGGAGACCCGGGAGGTATGGGCCGGTTTTGTGAAAAGGCAATTTTCTTCCAGTGGGCAGTGGCTAGACCCGGTTTTTCACTTTGTGTACGTGAAATTGCCTTTCGCCTGCAACGTGTGCCTGATATTATGCATCTGGGATCAACTATTTTGTCTCAAGATAACTTTCAATAAATCATGTGCTTTTTCGATCCATCAAAATACACCGGGAGGTATGGGCCATGGCCCGGGAGGTATGGGCCGGTGCCATGTTTCATATTCTTTTCTCGACAATTAGAAGAATACTCGTGGCTGGTATCTACCTTGATCTCTCTAGAGCCCAGGAACCGCATAAGCGGCCAACAGCTTACTTTATGGAGTTCACTTGGGCCCATATGTATTTTGGTAAAATCAATCATACACCATCATATAAGATCAATAATATTTTTCTGTTCGAATGAAATTTGAAGTTAAATTTTCGACCCTGCGCGACAAAAATAAAACTTATTGACGGGCTCATTCCATGAAAGCATCTTTTCATTTATTTAGGATCAACGGGGGTCGGTGGCCCGAACCTCCCGGCTAGGACGCCAGCATGTGCGTACATCTCAGCTCATAATCTTGCAAGAAAGCTTCATATTGTCTATCCAGTCATAATTTCCATGCTCTAAACGTTATGTTAGCGATGGTCTGACATAAAAAACGAGCCTGGCTCAAATTTATTACGAATTTTCTGTATTTACCGTATTTTACTCGGAGAGGGGAAAAACGCTTTATCACCGCTCATTGCCAAAGAAGACTGAGGAAGATTTTGAAAATCGCGTGGGCTGTATAATGAAATGGCTGCTAACAGTTAACGCCGTCAAATGTGAAAAAATACGCAACACTTCTTCAAAACTGCGATGGCCCATACCTCCAGGGGGCCCATACCTCCCGGGTCTCCCCTAATGCTCAGAAATCAAGCAGAGCTATCTACGAGCTACCGGTAACCGAAGTCTGGAAGAGTAGGACGGAACGCGAGTGGCCCGGCAGGCGGCACGGACGTCACGAAAGTGCGTCTGAGCGTGCCACAGGCCTTTCCCCGCGACTCTGCCAGACGCCAGCCGGCATAGGCGCGTGAGCCGGGGGGCAGCATGGGGGCAGCCTGCCCCCACAACTCTGGGGCCGTGGGGGTCTCTGCCCCCGCAAAGTTTCAAAGGGCCAGGAACCGTCGGGGCAGCTTGTCCTCCCCATATTAGCGGCCGAGGGCCTCAAAGAAAAGCTGAATGGAAGACAATACCTATTTAAGTAAAAAAATCCCCCTCTGTACGGGGACCCGCAGTTGCTATTGTACACGAACCCCAACTCTAGCCGTCTGTCCTGTCCAGTAACAACCGATAACATTGATATCGACTGCCGGTCCCTGCACAAGAGCAGCTGAGGTTTTCTGTGCGTGCCCTCTGACAGCTTATCGTTGTTCCCTGTGAGGGTGCTGGGACAATTTACTCAGGGTCGCTGTACAGTAGCAACTGCGGGTCCCCGTACCTGACTTGACAGCTCATGTGTGGAAGCTTTAAACGTTTATTCCAGGTTACCAAAAAGGTAGTTTCTTGACTCAGATGAGACTAATTATCTCACTTATTTGCAAATGTTTTATTTTTTTATTTTTGTTGTAAAGGCCAAGAGGTGAAAAATAAGTGGCCTAAAACCGGTGAGAAAACTAGATTTGGGGGTACCCTAGGTTCCGGGAAGGATCAGGTGTGCCCCCCCATCCCAAAATACCTTCCGCCGCCACTGGTTCACAATACAACTACAATTCCCAACCATTGGTTATTGGTATCTCAGCTTACGAGCCGTACCACAAATCGCTGCATTTGGGCCCGGTCAATTCCCAGCTCACGACACAACCTCTTATAAGTTATATTGCCTTGGACGAACAACTGCCTCAGCCTGTAGCCAGCGGACCGTCCTTGGCAGCCGGTGTGGCGCGCGAATTTTCCACTTGTTTACTAGCACACAACAGGAATTTAGGTATCAATAATTCCGAATCCGATGCATGAGACATTATGATAAGAAAGTTAGAAACACCATCCCTCCTGACTAAAATAATTTTTTTAGATCGAAAGAAATATTAAAATACCAAAAAAAATGCATTTCGGCGAAAAAGTACCAGATTTCGTTTAGGCGTACCTCCGTACCAGAAAGGTCGAAAAAGTACCAGATCTGGTACTATAGTACCAGGACGGCAACACTGGATCGTTTTGGGGGAATTTCTCTTATATAGCTCGCTCTGTGTGGCTTATTTATAATTTTTATGCTGATTTCGATAATTCCTCGTGCCCATCCTACCAGGCCTTTTGCCACTTACACTCATCAAGAAAGGAAAAAACTAGATTTTCATTGGGACTAGGTGTTTTGAGGGTGTAACATATTCAGCGTTCCCATTTTTGGATACTTCCTTGTACTCGTCAACTATCGGTGATAAACAGACAGGTGCTTGACATGTCTCCACCCTCAGCGCGGACGGTGGATATAGGTATGGAAGACCTTGTTGAACATCGCTGAGCGTTGTGAATTACGTAATCCTGCAGAGGGGGGCGTGCCCGCTGCGAGATCGACGGGAATAAAAGCGCAGAAGACCGGGCGAAACATGCGACGGTCTTGCCGGAAAGGTCATCTGATGATTGTTGCGTTAACAATAATTTGCGGCGTTGGACGTGATGCGTGTTAATGAAAAGAGCCCCTGAAAGGCGTCGGTGAAATCGTTCCCAATTTTGGGTACGCCGTTCCCATAATAAGGAACGCTTGCAGCGCCAGTGTACGAGAGCGTTCCCAAATTTGGGCTCGCGGCCCGGATGATGGACTGCTTTAGAAATAGGGGAACGATTTGAAACTACGATGGGCCTTACAATATCAAACTCTTTCCCAACAATATTGAGACAAATATCAGGCGGTTCACGATCGTTTTATATTTTTTGGACGTCATTTAACGGTTCTTTTTCTTGTTTTAAATAATGCCTACATGGCGTTCCCATATTTGGGTTTATCGTTCCCAAACATGGGAACGAAAATGCGTTCCCGAAAATGGGTACGCTTGACCATAGTTCCGCCTACTGGCCTATGGGTTCAGCCTGTCACCATGCACCCACATTGAGTGGTTTGGTGAGTTGTCACGTCCATCCCCCTAGCACGTCTGCAAAACGTATTCAGCTCTTGACAATCCATATCAGGGCTGGTTTCTTTTCAGTTTTCAACATTTCAAAATCTTTCAAGGAGCAATGATGACTCACCTGCCAGGTCTGTGAATACAATGTCATCTGTGGGAGCATTTTTGACATCATCATGTACTTCTTCATCAGTCGGTAATTCTGGTAAAGTAATATCAATATCCAGCTTCTTCATGTTGACTTAACCCACACCGCTGTGTGAAGAAAATTGCTGGAAAACAGTTATAGCTGATGAACGGAGGCCGAAAGCAAGGTATATGCACTATATATGGCATTGGTATATGCCCAGCCCAGCCGAATTATAACGCTAAGTTGGTAGACCACACCAAGGTATATAAAAATAAAAACACTTGATAGATACATCGATTATGACGTCATTATGCTTTAATCTTTGAAAATAGAAGATCAACACGGCATTGAATGACAAAAAAAAAACATTAAGCAATGCATAAAATTGTGTGCATAAAAAGCAATTGTTCATAGCTCTGTTGTCGTTAGTGACGATGGTCTTTTGCGGGGCGGACGTCATCATAAAATTACGTAATGATTATGTATAGTAATACAAATGCAGCGCAGTAAAGTGCTGTTTAGTCGCTGAACTCTATAATGTGTTTACCCCGCGTTCGATGTCTCTCGGACGACGAAGATTCTACGCCGTCCGGCCAATCACGCTCCATAACCGCAGCCAAGCCCCCACTAACCTTGGACGGGATTGGCCAGACGACGTAGAATCTTCGTCGTCCGAGAGACATCGAACGCGGGGTTAGTGTTGAGCCGTATCATTCTCAGTTCAAGTCGTTGTTCAAGTTACGGAGCTAAGCCGTATCGAGTATGTTGGCTGTTGCCTGTTATATTGATATTTAGATTTATTTGAATTTTATTGCATAATTCATGTTTTATTGTACTATTTTGACAGCATTTCGTAATTGTCATTATTGCAAAGGAGGATGAAAGGGATCCAGGTCGTCTCCGTGCTTGAAATGTTAAATTGCGGTGATAGCGGTTTGCGTTATGTAATGCATGTATATGGTAGCCAGGTATTCATGGCTCTGCATTTTACCTGGGCCCTATTTCACCGGTGATAGCAGCACGGAACTATCAAATTGCGCGAGCTTACGTAATGTGATGAGGTCACACTAATGACGTTTCGTGTAATCCTTGAGCTGCGTTTGGAACAGAGTTGCTGTCTCGTTGAATGTGTTTGATACATTTGTTTGAGTTGTTTGAGTGCACGGCCGTGAAGACGTTAGCAGCAATATTTGGTGACATCACACAGATTGACGGCGTCATGGTTGATGTTTCCATGGAAACCCAATTTGACGCGTGTAATAGCAGCACGCTGCCATTTCATTTTGTGAGCTGACGTCACACATCTGGTAGTGTTGGAGGAGATGGAATACTGCACTTTTTTGCAAATGTTTCCTTTTTTGCTGAAAAAGTCAAGGGATGAAAAGTAAGTGGCCTAAACCCTGTGAGAAAACTAGATTTGGGTGTACCCTAGGTTGATCTCTATTATGGTGTGCCCCCTCCCCCCAGTTTGAAACTAGTTCCCACGCCCCTGATCCGTCCCCTAGTCAAAAATCAGTGGTGACGCCCCTGATTTTAATTAACTCGCCGCCACAGGCCATTGTGTGTCCTTCGACGGCACAAGGGGGTTGGTACGACCCCCCTCGCGTTTGGCCCCTGATCGAGCTAGAGCTTCGCGGAAAAACGAGCGTGCTGCCCGTCACGAGAGGAAGCCGATGATACCCAAATTTAAGGTCCAAGGTCATCGGGTGACATTCCAGGTCAGGTCAATGACCCAAAAATCGGGAAAATCGGGACCTGTCAGAATGTCGTAAAGTGTGGCTGCCATGGGGTTTTCCGGGGTGCTGATTACGAATATCGTGTTAGTTGTGGTCAGAGATGATGTCTTTAAGCATTTAGACCAGGTCGGGTCAGGTCAGGGCCCTGTTTCACCGGTGATAGCAGCACGCTGCTATTACACGTGTCAAATTGGTTTTCCATGGAAGCATCAACAAACCATGACGTCGTCAATCTGTGTGATGTCATCAAATATTGCCGCTGACATCTTCACGGCCGTGCAATCAAACAAATGTATCAAACACATTCGACGAGACAGCAACTCTGTTCCAAACGCAGCTATGAAAAAGCTCACGGATTACAAGAAATGTAATTAGTGTGACATCATCACATTATGCCAGCTCGCGCAATTTGATAGCAGCGTGCTGCTAGCACCGGTGAAACAGGGCCCTGATCAACCGGTAGGGGTCGTGACGGGTATTCGTAGTACGTGTCAACCGCCTCTGACAGCTTCGTAACATGTTACGAACTACGAAGGCACCAAAACTACTTCGTAAATGTTAATGGTTGCTAAATTCGAAATCAGCTCCAAAAACTAGCCTAGAAACATGTAAAACTCGAAAAGTGAACCGAGGTCACCAAAGGTCAATGACCTGACCTGACCTTCAGGTGACCTTGACATCCACCCTAATGCATGGGCGCAACATCAAATGACATGTTTGAACGTTTGAAGCCACGAAAAGCTTGCAAATGCGCGGCTAATGCGAGCCGACATACGCCGAATCGCGATTCCGGCCAAACATGGTCTCGGAAAGTAGGTCACAGGTCAAAGGTCATTTGGGTCAGGGTCATGAAATTTTCAGGGTTTGTGTAGAATTGATCAATGCGACGGTACTGAAAGTTTCGTCGCGATTGGCCGCTTTTTACGCGAGTTATTCGCGAAAAAACCTTAGGGGGGTTGCATCAACCCCCGTCCCTGTGCCAGCGAGTAGAAGCAATTTTGGGACTTGAAAAAGTTGAATTTGACCCCCTGATCATGTCGGGGAGAGGAAGACTCAGAAGTCAGAGGTGGTGGAGGTAGAACATGGCGAGATTCGAAAGCATAGGTCCGAAAACCCCGGAGAAGTTGACGCAGCGTGGATATGTGAGCCAGGGATGTCAGTTGGATGTAAGGTGAAATTTATAAAGGAAGACAGCAAGTCTGGTTTGTGATTACTGTGATCTCTATTTTGCACTGATTGTGTCAACCTGTCTGACAAGCAAATGCAATATGAGATTATCTCAGCTGTACCGGCTGTACCTGGAACATACTGAAGGCAATGATCCAATCCAGTAGTTTTCCACATGGGATGGAAATGAATTCACAGCATGTTGTTAACATTTTCTCGATTTTATTGCTTAGTGTTAAAGTTGTGCGCTGGTCTGCTACTTGCAGGTGTGAACTGTCATCATGGCCCTTACGAATCTGCGTTCCATATGCCGAAGCCTTCCATCACTGGCGCCACAGCTCTCAGTTCTCACCGCCCAGTATCATGCCAAGGTAGGTACAGCTAGCTGAACTCTGCCCCTTGGCCCCACAAACACCTAAGTTTGAAGGATTAAGTCATTCGTATCATGTAGATGACTCGACGTTATGTGATTCAGGGTTCCGAGTATCTAGTCCTGGGCCCATCGCTGACACGGTGACTATCACTGGCAGGTGATCGACCATTACGAGAACCCACGCAACGTCGGCTCCCTGGATAAGGGGGACAAGAGCGTCGGCACGGGCCTGGTGGGCGCGCCCGCCTGTGGCGACGTCATGAAGCTGCAGATCAAGGTAAGTAGCTATCCCATCGGGTTCTCTTCTCCCTCCCTCGCCCTCTCCCTACTTCCCTCCCTCACTCCCCTCTCTTCCTGCATTCCCTCCCCCCCCCCCATCCACCCCTTGAAATGATCAATAATTAATATCGTTCAGCACAGTTGTTGCTACTTATTTTGCTTTGCGCTAGTTAATTGGTCCCATTTACTTTCCGTCAGGTTGACGAGAACGGTAAAATCGTGGACGCCAAGTTCAAGACGTTCGGCTGCGGCTCTGCCATCGCTTCCAGCTCGCTCGCCACCGAATGGATCAAGGGCAAATCGGTACGCTGCGCGTCGTGTGCCCCCGGTCGCCCAAACTGTCAGTGTTTGATGAAATCCATTGGTGATAACTGATAACTGATATTTGATGAGATGGTTTTTCCAGTTTGCGATCGTTTTCGTTGGACTTGGACACACATGGTCGTGCTTTGTAGCGGTGTTTGGCGGTCGGCCGCTCCGCAGATTCTAAGTGTCCCTGGGGTTCCTTCTTAGTATGCCATTACATTGAGGCAATATGTCTCCATTCATGTGTCCAGTGTCACATGCAAGCTCTTGGTCAAGTCCTCACGTTTCCTCGGTGACAGACACGCTCGCGTGGTGTTTGGTCCGTCACTCACTTTCGTGTCCTGTGGGCGGCTGTCTCCTGGTGTTCGACGGTTGCTCGGCGGTTAGAGAGCCTTGGCCCGGCCCGGCTCCGAGCCGCCTCTGACCCCCGCCCCGGTCTTGGCTCCCCTCTCTGACCTTCACCTCTGTTTCGCAGCTCCAGGACGCCGGCAAACTGAAGAACACAGACATCGCTAAGGAGCTGTGCCTGCCGCCCGTCAAACTGCACTGCTCCAGTGAGTGTGGCGGAGTCACCGACTGCTGCATTGGCCATTGACTGTGTGTGGGGGAGTTCATGAACACTAAAGGGAATAGTTCACTTTCCCGAAATTAGTTTTTTTGCAATTGATTGATTATTTTTTGCCCAAAATGATCAGCGAAGAAAATCAAACATTTTTATAAATGATAATATTTTCTATATTTTAATATAGGAAGAACAGTATATTCCATATAAAATATTGTCTGACGCGGAAGCATTATTACGCGTTAACCAATCATATTGCGTGGCACAAACCAATTGGCTGTAAGCAGCATGCTAGTTGGCTGACGATGACGTGGCCGCATTCCTCAGCAAGGCACTCTTTTTCGGAACGAGAAATGGAATATCTTCGTCTAAGGTGATCGTTGGGCCGTAAAAGCTTCTGATTTGTGCTAGTCTCAGCTCAAGCTACAAAACTGCTATTCAAGTTCAAAACGTTTAAAGTGAACTATTTCCTTTAAACTTGGTGTAATTCAAATGTAGCCTTAGGCCTCCGCAAAAATCGTCTGTTTGACTGGTGCTCATGAATGAAGACTGACAGTCGATTCGCTGAAGGATTCTTGCAACGTAAAATTACCTATCCGGGCTGATTGATCAATATCGGGTTTGCTTTCGGGTTTGAGCATAATCGGAAATGATTTTTATGCATGAAAGTGAATAAAGGTTTATTATTCCGGGCCGTTTGCCGCCATAACTATTGCCGGGGTCTATTATTGTGGGCTGTCAGTCGAAGTCGTGATGACGTGATTTTGGGTCAAACCTAAAACAGACTTACAGGGTGTCCCATAAGTTCGTTCTCACATTATGTTTGCATGTGAAACAGAGTACATTGCGTTTTGGTATATTTATGACCCCTCAATGTGCTCCCCATTTAATAGGCAAACACATGAATACATGCTGCGGCATGCCAACCGGCATGTTTGGCTGCATAGCAGGCTTAAAGTTAACCCAGACTAACTTGACATGCGCCGTGAGCTCCTCGAGGCTGGAACAGCGCTACGCTTCGACGAGCC